GGCGCGGAAGCTATTGGTCCGTCCTGTATCCTAGAGTCGTGGCTAGTGTAAACTGTATCAGGTATAACAATGGAATACAAGAACATAGACAGCGAGGCAGGTCATGATAAGGCTTGGCTGATGACATGCAAGTATACAAGTACGGCGCCCATACTAGAATACACGAGGTTCGCGTGGACCTTCGTTTCTTTTCGCTGTTCAATCTGTTCTGTGTATCCCTGCGAGTGGCCCACCGGCACGCTCATTGAGGGGCTTCTGTGGGTAGAGGCTGCTTCGCTAACATTCGGCCCCGTCTACCCCAAGGTGTTTTCCCGCCCAAGTACGGCGCCCATACTAGAATACGCGAGGTTCGCGTGGACCTTCGTTTCTTTTCGCTGTTCAATCTGTTCTGTGTATCCCTGCGAGTGGCCCACCGGCACGCTCATTGAGGGGCTTCTGTGGGTAGAGGCTGCTTCGCTAACATTCGGCCCCGTCTACCCCAAGGTGTTTTCCCGCCCTGGGTACAAGGAGCTACTGGCGGCTGACCTCACCGGGCCCCCCGTCTTGTAGAGGGCCATACACAAGCTTGCCTTAAGGCGGCAAATCAGGTGGCCTTGTGATGATGGGGATTGACGATGGAGGGGGTGGGTTCACGTGTGTGTCGCATTAATTCAGAGTACCGGCTGCCAGGGCTGCTTAGGGTGAATACCCAATGGGAGGCTTATTGTCTTAAACCCTTTGTGTGGTCTGGGTGGTTCCAAAAGGGTTACAAGGCAGCCGGCTCATACCGGCACAAGTCTCAAGGATGGTTGCAGAAGGATACACTGTATCCGCTCGATGACTGCATGCTCGGAGGGGAATGTGCTGTCAGTAGAGAAGCTGGTGGCATGGGTGGAGAAGAAACACATGGAAGTGAAGGCATGGGCGACAATCATGGCTGACATGTGTGTTAATTCGGTCACAATTGTAACCCTTCTGGAACAACCGTGTTTGTTATAGGGGATGGCGCATCTGGGCCACTCCTTTGAAATGTGGGTGCCGTCCACTTTGTGACCAGCAAGCACACATCAAGTGAACTGGACAGTCAGCAACCAGTCGTACTAGTCCCGCCGATACTGCTGTGGCGGTGTCTGCCTCGCACTTTACACTGTCGGCACTCTTTCCAACAATGCAGAATGTGAAGCCATTTGAGTACTGAACCGAAACTCCATACGGGCATATGGACTGCCAGTGTGCCTTTACGCATATACGCCTGCATATGTATGTACATGCGTGCCATCTGTTGCACATGTGCATGGGATAACTTTCGTAGTCATTCGTTGTCAACCAGACAAGGGTGCATCCATCGGCCTCATTGCTGCAGTTGCTCAGCGGTTGGTGAAGTGTGTGTATGGCATGAAGTACATCAGCCCCTTTCGGTCCCCCTCCGGGGCGGCTGTGCAGAACTTGCCCTTCAGCTCACTTAGCGGCAGCCCTAGGTCCTGCCACATCTCCCACTGGCTGCCTGCCCTCACTGTCTGGGCGGCCGCCATGTTGACCACCACCAGCCCCCCGCTGAACACCTGTCCCGAGTACACATCTGCGACAGTGAAGCGGACATCCTGAGCGCCATCTTCTGCGGGCAGGTGGACGAAGTACTTGAGGTAGGCCGCATACGTCCGAGTCTCGTTGCCGACTTCTGCCTATTAGCATGCCCAGCAGGAGGTCCGCTGCTGCTGGCGCCCATACTCAGCCCTGAAGTACTGCTCCTCGTCGAGTGCCTCGGCACGCAAAAAGAAGCGGGCCTTGGGACAGTCGGGTGGTGTAGACATGAGAACCCTATCCAGGCGGTCCGTGTCCAGTTCGTAGCTCGCACTGGGACCCAATGTCCAGGAAGCCACATCCTCGAATGCCAGGGCATACCAGTGCACTAGGCTCGCCATGGCTGCCTGGACTTGTGCCACTCGTTCTGGACTCGGGTAGACCATGTGGCCTCGTCCAAGCAGGTAACCGTTGGCTCCTGGTTTATCAAACCAGGCAGCCTCGGTGTTCACTGCGCGCCGTGCCAACATCCTCTCAAGCTGCTGGTTGGTCGTGTGTTTGGCCCTGGTCGCGGGGTCTGCCTCGGTGAGCGACTCGGAGGCCTGCATCAGGCACAGCCACTGCGCGTAGTGCTTCTCGGGTGCCTGTGACACCATCCTTCCGCCTTGCGTCTTCATTTGCTGCATCATGCGTTCCACCGGCAGGTCGGAGAACCCTGCCGCGGACCCAAGCTGGCACTCCTGGTCGTACAGCCGGCATACGCAGATATGCAGGTTGACCGTGAACATGTAGCCCGGCACCTCCAACTCCTCCAGCCTGGTCGTGTAAGCTCTGAGCTTGCATGCAGCCGCCTTGGCTGCCACCAGGAACTGCTCACGGGTCTCGTCGGGGGGCCGCGGCCAGAAGTAGTGTGTGACCGTGCTGCACAGGCTCCAACACAGGGCCCGCAAGGCCTCGGGCAGCACGTCCCCCTTGAAGATGTAGCTGGAGAACGTCTCAACGAAGTGCAGCCAGTCCTCCATGCGGTAGCTCTTGCTGCATGGGTGGAGGGGGGCAGTGTGGCGAGCAACCGTGTAACTAGAAGAAGTACATTACATAGGTAGAGTAGCAAACTCTCTGACAGACGAAGGTGTTTTTTTCAGGCAAGCCCCTGGTCGTATTTGCTTTCTCGGCTATTAGCGACCCCCGTGTGTGGCCGGCTGCCCAGTGCTGGCCGTGCTCACCGGTACTGCATGATGCATTTGTACCGCCGCCCGAAGTCCGAAGTCACGACCAGGAACTGGCCGCGGGCCGCGACCCGCTGGCGTGCTTCACGAGACATGACCAGCTTGGCATCTGGGTCTGCTGGCTTGATGTCTTTGAGCAACCTCAGCGTCTAGTCCACAAAGTCGCTGACCACTCCGAACAGCAGGGCATGGCCGGTGGAGACGGTGAAGAGGCACGACAGGTCGACGTACGGCAGGGCCGCAAAGGCAGTCAGGCCCTTGCACCCAGTCTGGAGCGCCGCCTCATCGAACTGCTTCTGCGTGATCTTGTGTGGAGTCCCAAGGTGGAGCATCCTGTACATCGCCTGCATGACACTGCCCGCGCTGACGAAATGCCAATGGGTCTTCTTGAGAGCCCGGGCGCCGACCTTCAGGCTCTTGCCTGCATTCCGCTTTACGAAGTGCTGGCTGACTGCTTGGGTGTAGCCACGGAAGCGCACGGTGGCCCCGCGCCCGACATTGGCCTCCGTGTGTGCCTCGAATAGGCACCACATGCAGCTGCCGACACGACTGTTCTGGTCTCGTAGCTGCTGGTGGGCCGGTTCTGTCGGTGGGAATGGCTGGAATAAAAGCCTGCCGCGGTCCAGGTGTTGGACGGGCGGCTCATGACTGCCATTTCAGGGGCTGGGGACAGCAGGGTGCGGAGCTTGGTATGGAAGAGGACACCTAAGTGTAAGCTCCAAGACCCTCTTATCCTGTTTCCTGCCCCACCGGTTATTATTCGGTTTATAGGAGACCCAAGCCCAGAGGCCTATGCTAACCAGGTCGACTGAGAGCACACAGGGAACGGCAAGGGACGATGACAGGAAACCTGACGTGGGTTACCCGGCAGACACTCAGGATGGCGACGGAAGGGATCCGACCGAGTTGCTGTCGTTGGAAGATGACCCTTGCGAAGACGACCAGTGGGTGAGTCACCAGCCGACAGGGCGGAAATCCAGCGGCGTAGGACTAGCACCAGCCTGGGAAGCGAGTGCCCGCAACGCTGGGGGCAGGGAGGCACTCCAGCTGCTACAGGAAGCCTGGCAGAGGTTGCAGCGGCTGGGGCAACAGGACGCGGTAGATCCGCGGGATAAACAGGAGTTTCTCGAAGAGGTCGTCTGTTTGCTCCCAGATCCTGAAGACTTCCAACCAGGAAGGATACGTCTACATGTTGCAGTGTGGCGAGTGTTCTTTCAGGCAGCTAACGAAGGCCGGCCCCTCACGGACAAACAGAAACGGTGGCTGGGATACCTGCAGGGCGGAATTCAGCTGGAGTGGGTGCCGTGCGACTACCCAGGGCAAGAACTAGCCCCGGAGCGGGGATGCAAGCTAGCTATAGTGCGGGAAATGCTGTGGGTCGCGGCGCCAGATTGCGACCTAGACTTTATCATGGCGGGTGACCGGCCGCGAGCCGTGCAGTTTCCTAACATCGCAGCGCGACTCAGCACAGTGAGTTTGTTACAGCCGAATTGAGAAAGGCCCTTGACCGAGGGGTGATACGGAATGGCCAGCAGACGCGCCCCCCCCCACGGTTATCAATGGCTTGCGGGTAGGGAAAAAGATGGCAAGCTGCTCTGTATAATCCGATG